CACCCATATTCACACCATTTTGGCCCCATAGACTTTAAGGGAATGCCTGATGTGGTGTGGCACAAGCGTTGTAGCACATTATTCACATATTTTTGTGCCTAACAACTGTACTTTTCCTCCTACCAGCCTCAGACCTGTGAACAAAATGGAGGATTCAGGAGTGTCATTGCTCGATGTGAAGACTTTCATACACCTAGTGAGGGCACACAAGAGCATCTATGACCGCAGTGATTCCCATTACAAGAACAGTGGCAAGTGGTGATGGTCTGGGAGGAAATCTATTAAGCAAGGAGATAAGAAAAGAAGAAGATTCGATGGTCTTTTTTCTGACATCACTCTTCTATGTTTCTTAACTGGCATACTATAGCTGATGTGGTTCAAGAGCTTTGCTAGCACAAGACACCACACACATAAACCAGGACGCAGATACAAGGATGACTACTACATATGAAGTCACAGGTGATACTGCTTTACATTGGCCAAAGCAAAAAAGAAAAAAGTGCAAAAGCGCACAAAAAACTTCAAATTTACCCCAAAATGCTCATGTGAGATAGGGACTTTAAAGTGTTATTAAACTCAGTATCATATATTCACTATGTCTGATCTCCCACAGTACACAGAACATGGAACTATATATTGTAGTAAATATAAACTGCTAAATACCTTTTCTTATCAGCAGTTAGAGCAATCTTGTGACTTTTATCACTGTCCAGCAGAGCACATGTTAATGCTTGTTGGAGGAGTTTTCATTTTACTCTAGGAGGATGCAGAACCCCGGACCTCTGTCTGGACAGTACTGATTGGCCCTGTGCTGATCACATGCACTCTCCTAAGAAAAAAAAACCTCTCTAGCAAAACACACCAAACTTAGCATGTGCAGAGTGACTCCACAAGATATGTTTTATCAGGAGATAAGAGGGGGACACTAGAAGAAGGGAAGGATCAGAGAAGTCAGGATCAAATACTTTTTACACAATGCAGAGCATTAACCCCTTAGGTTCCACAGTGAGTATAACAAGCATGCTTCACTGCATATACAGACTGATTTTACTGTTGTGGGATTAATAACATTGTAAGCAGCTTCTGAGGTGCTTTTGCATTAACTTTGAAGGGCAACTCAAACATGTTTAATTCATGGTGGCTTCTTTCATGATGCCCTTAACATTTTTACTTTTTCAGCTTATGAAAAGAGGAAAATTGTGATTTGGTGTGGTGGATGACAACATTTATTTTTATCCTGTCACCTATGCACTGGTTTACATCAATGATCTCCATTAGACTATCTACTGAACCTACAAATAGTTTCATAATGTTCAGTTCAGCTCACACCTGAGGGTCTTTATAGAAAGGTGAAGCAATATCTTCACACTTTTCTAATTATGTTGAACAGTTTGTCATTAAGTTTGACTTATGTGAGAACAATGGCAAGGCGTTATCAGCCATTTGGAGCTAATCAGTTATTTGGTAATGCTCATATTTCCAATGCTCAATGAGTATGACTGTTATGACCTCTGATATTCACCTTACACACCTTTACAGAGCTGCACAATATATTGTATACACTAATCTCATTTAAGTGTTGTGTTTTGCAATGTAGGTTACAGTGACAGGAGGATTACATGGCCGTGTATTTAGGGAGTGCCAAGTTATGTTTCTAGTAAATTCTTTAACCTTGTGAGCAGAAGCAGAAAGTACAGAAAGAATAATTGCAAAGAAAATCATGTAGATATCATACATTTGTTTTACACAGCAATTGTGCCAAACACCACAGCCAAGTGGTTAGACCATTATATAGATGAGGGTGTAGCACTGCTGCCTTGCAGATCTGTATTTTATTCCCAACAAGGTACTACCCTGTGAGGAGTCTCTATGTTGCCAGGCCCAGGGCTTCCACTAGGCAAACTAGGCAGCCGCCTAGGGTGCACTGCCACCTAGGGGTGCCTGGGCGCTGCACAGGTCGGCACTCTCTCTCTGTGGGACTCCACCATATCGTGAATGACCCTTCAGCTGAGGGGAGGGGCAGCAGAGGGGAGGAAGAAAGTACAGAGGAGGATGCCGGGTGTCTGGGGCCAGTGTAGCAGTTGATCTGTTGCTCTGTACAGTGTTCCTCTCAGACTCAGTCCCTTATTGCAAACCAGCTTGCGGCTGCTAATCATTGTGGAGTTCCAACCCTTCTCTCCCCATTCATCAGTGGAGGTGGAGCTGCACCTGCGGAGGAAGATAATGTCTGACTTTGATGTCTCCTGTCTGTGTGGGCCAGCCATCTATCACATGTGCAATGTGTCAGTGAGTGATGACATCACGGCCTGCTGATCTGTGTCAGTGTTGGTGGTGACGTGTTGTTGTGTCGAATCTGTCACTGTGTGGGATCGCTCAGTTCAGGTGCTCTCTGTGTGGTGCTGGACTGCCTGCTGTCATAAATTTTCATCTCCCTTCATTATTATTATTATACAGGATATATATAGCACCAACAGTTTGTTCAGCGCTTTACAATATAACGGGAGACAATACAGCAATAATACAGTTCAATACAAGAGGGTTAGGAGGGCCCTGCTCCTTGGAGCTTACAATCTAAGAGATTGCTTGGGGAATTCCAGCCTGGGATCTGTCAGAGTGTGGATCCATCATCTTCCACTCACTGCAACTGTCACCCCTGCCGCTGCCACCCACAGATACAGTCCATCCATGACACTGATTTTGTCTTTAATATTGGTGCTGCAGGTATCTTATGGCACTTATTTTTGCAAATTAAAGAAATTTAGCAGTTTCAAGTTTTGCTTATTTAATATTTTTTTAAATGTTTATTTATTTATTTATTTGTTTATTTATTTTAATTTTGGGGGGCTCAAATAGCTGGTCTTGTCTAGGTCGCAAAATAGTCTAGCATCGGCCCTGTATGTTGTTACATTGTTTCTTTGGGATAGCTTTGAGTGCACCAACTGTCTTCCACAGCAAGGAAAGATAATAGTAACTATCCTAATCTCAGGCAAATGTTCAGCATGGTGAATTCTGAAAACATTATTATTTACTATTTATTAGGAGAACCCAAAAGTGTGATGTAACTGGAGAGGTATTTTACAATAGAAAGGGTGTTGCAATGAGTATGGGGATAATTGCTGTGCACATAGCATGTCATGGCTAATTGGAGGCATTAACAGTACTGTGCTTAGGGGTGCAAAACCAAAATATTGTAGTTTATAGGAGTATGGTTTGATATTGAGATGTCCACAAAAGGATCAAGTTCTAGTAACATAACAAACATCAATGATGACTCAACACTGAGTAAGGAAAAACTTGCAATCCTCACAATACATGGGCTACAAAAAGGCAATTGTCACAAGACATACGCAACCAGTATTTAGTTGTGCCAATGCATGGACAACAAATATGCCTTCATTACAGTACATGGGCAGTTGTTACAATATAATATAAAATAGGTGTAGCGCTAAAAATAAATGAATAAATAAATAAATAGTTGAATAAATAATTGAATAAATAATGAGCCTAAAATGATAAGTCAGTGATAGTTATTCCAGGTCATAAATAATTCAAAAGTTGTTAAAGTGCTCTTTAAGGTGCTTACTTCCTAGGATCGGTGACTGTGCAAATGATATATAGAATGCGCACTCACGGGAAGCGCATATAAAATGTGCCTGTATTAAATACAAACGGACATCAAAGCAAGCCAGGAGTGGGTTGTCATCAAAGGGATCAGAGGGAAGACATCCCCCATTCCTGGCTTGCTTTGATGTCCGTTTGCATGTCCGTTTGAACTGGAATAACTATCATTGACTTATCATTTTAGGCTCATTATTTATTCAATTATTTATTCAACTATTTATTCATTTATTTTTAGCGCTGCACCTATTTTATATTGCTTTGATTAAGGTTTTTTTTTGGTTACCTTTGTGTATAGCGGCTTTCACTGTTTTCTTGAGCGCTCACATCCCTTGTGTTACAATATGCTGGAAATTAGGCAATTGTTACAATTCAATTGCAACAAATGGGCACTTGTTAGGCTTTATGTACACTACTGTTTTTTTAATCTCCTAGAAGCTGGGTTTTTTTTTTCGCCTCTTAAAAGCTAAATAGTGTTATCCTATGTGTCCATGCACACTACTTTAGTCTATTAGTCCCATGAAGCATTGCAAGCTTGACAGCATGACTCCCAATGTCAGAGGCATGATGGGACTTGTAGTTTTGCAACAGCTGGAGAGCCACCAGTTTGACACCCCTGATCTAGAAGTAGAAAAGAAATAGTTTTTGTAGAGTTTTTTGGAGCGTTTTTCCACCAGAAAAACCGTTAAATGCACCTAAACTCTCCTAAAACGCTTTTAACAGCTTTTTCTAGTTTTTTTTCCTCTACATCTACTATAAAAAGCTAATAAAACACTAATGCTGTAAAACGCTTCTGAGCACTACTAAAACTCTAATGAAAAAATGCTATTGCCAGAGTTTTTTATCCAGCATTTTTTGAGCTTTAAAAGAAAATCCTCTAGTGTGTATGATGCCTTACAGTATATGGGCAACAAACAGGTAATTGTAATAACAAGTAAACCGCAAGCATTGAATTATTTCAATACATTGTCCGTAGAAACACTTCTAATAACACTGACAGTAAATGGAGCCCAGTGTAGCTTCCTGCCTCCCCCTGCCTTGTTTTTCTGTAAGCCTTTGGTCCAGTAGTAGGCTGTAGATTCTGTTTCTCTTTCCACAAATGTCCTCAATGGCCAGAGGAAAGCTCTAGAGGACTGACCACAGCTCATATCTCTTGCCAGCTTTCTCCTCTTCCATGCTAGCTCACTTTCTGTTGTCCCAAAAATCCAGTAATCTATTTGACTAGCTGGAGTATCTCATTAAAATATGGAAAGTTCCCACCTATTTATATAGGAAAACACAATGGGGATGCAGCACACAGAGAACCTTTATTGCTCAGTTCCAACAACAGGAATGGCTTTGACTATCCCTGTCTTTTTCAAAGCTGAAGCCCATATGATCACTATCAGGGGCGGACTGACCATTTGGAAACTTGGGCACTGCCCGAGGGCCCGGGTCAGTAGGGGGCCCCATGAGATGCCCCTGGTACCTTTTTCATAGGCTTTTTTGAGTTTGGGCAAGGACACAGGGGCCCCATGAGCCCCTATTGCCCAGAGGCCCCATGAGTTGTCAGTCCACCCCTGATCACTATGATTTCTAGTTTACATTGGAGTGGGGAAGGATTAGAACCTTTTTACTACTGTCAAGGACATCAGTGGGAAAACATCTACTCATATCTATCCTGATGACAACCATTCACCTCTCTGGCTAAACAAAAAAAAAGTCTAAGCTTGAGTTACACTATAGAAAAAGGGTATCAAATCCACCACTGGCCATATGGGCTACACATACAATACTTTTACCAAACTGGAAAAAAATTATTTTTTAGTGCACTCCCAGACACTGTAATCAACAGAAATAAATCACAATCCATCCTTAACTGATGTAAAGTAAGAAGAAATTATATTTCATTGTTGTACTTTGCACAACATCAATGCTCTCTGCACAGACCTAGTCATAGATATAGGGGTTGATTTACTAAAACTGGAGAGTGCAAAATCTGGTGCAGCTCAACATAGAAACCATAGAAATCAGCTTCCAGTTTTTTTGAGGTTTTTTTTTGTCAAAGCTTATTTGAATAAACTGAAGTTTGAAGCTAATTGGCTAACATGCACAGCTGCACCAGATTTTGCACTCTTCAGTTTTAGTAAATCAACACCATAGTGTCCTTAATCCCAATTAAACTCTCAATTTAAATTAGTTAATTTAAATTAGCTTTCAGGTGCATCAGAACAAAAGGTGTTCAATTCCTTACAGTTTGTAGAAAAGCCTTTCCCCTGCAGAATTGTACCTTTCATCTATATCGGAAAGCAGTGGTCTCTCTGCTGAGGTTGGATGTGCCCTTTACTAAATAAGACCTCATTCCTACTGATTGGAGAGCTCTGGATCTGACTTAGTAGGGGACATGTTAGAACTCTGCAAAGAGATTACTGTTTCCCCACAGACAGCAAGGGTCCCATGCTGCATCATTGCTGGCAAGGGACAGGCTATTCTACTCAGGCTGTGGCTGTTTTTTATTTTGTTAGAAAACAAGCTGTAAGACTTTACACATATTTATCTCATTTAAATTGAAAGTTAAATTGAGGTTTAAATGGCTTGAAAGAATGCCATTGCTGCATACTTTACTAAGTAATCCAGAAGGTGCTGAAATCATTTTCAGAAGGAGGTAACCAATTGCAGGCTCTGTATATTTCTAATGACAAGTTTCCTTAAAAAAATAAATCTGTCAGTCGTACAGTCTTCACTATTCTGTATGTCCTAGTGTTACTGCTTCCCAAATGTCAAGAATGACACACCAGAGGAGTAATTACAACACAAACATTTACAAGTAGAAGCCCAATATGTCAATATTTAATGTATGCAGAAGAACAAGTGTTATATGCGAAAAACAGTTTTGTATTATTATCATAAGAGATTTAATGACATGCCATGCCCTGGTTTGAGCCCTGGCTCAGATTTCCTGCGCAAGACTGCAATTTTCACACACATTTTAAATCCTCGTATCATATATGTAGTCCACTCCCTTAAAATAACTGTCAGCTTCCATTTAATTGAAGGGGAAGATGACATCACACAGACACAAGGAGTACTAAATTAGAATTTAATCAATGTTCAAAAAATAAATGGCCCGCACTGACACCAGTCCTATTTTTTCTGCAATGACATAAATCCTGTTTTCTTACACCAATACTGAGATTTTTTTTCAGCTGCAATAACCAATCTTTTTTTCTGATGCCAATCCTGGGGGTACTTTGCTGCATTTACACCAATCCTGTTTTTTTACCTGCACTGACACAATCCTGTCTTTTGATGCACTGACACCAGTCCTGTTATTTATTTATGTATTTATTTATTTATTTTGCTGCACTGACTTCAATCCTGGGAGTATTATACATCAATGACACAAATCATGTTTTTTTTTCTTCACGTTCACTGATACTGGGGGTAATATGCTGTACTGACACCAATCATGGGGGTAATCTGCTGCACTAACACCAATCCTGTATTTTTTCTGCAATGACACCAATCCTGGGGTATTATGGTGCACTAACATAAATTCTGGGGTAATTAAGGTGCACGGACACCAATCATGGAAGTATTATGATGCACTGACACCAATCCTGGGGTATTATGCTTCACTGACACCAATCCTGGATATATTTTGTTGCAGTGACAATAATGGGTTTATTGTTGCAACCACTGACACCAATGTTGGGGGTTATTATTGCAGTGACTGACAATTTGTAACTAAATAATTCTTTCCATGGTTGAGAGTGAGAAATAGACATTTGATTTTATATATCTGGTACTAGGCTTAAAAAATGCCTAACTTGTTCTAGAGTGGTAATTCTCACTTACTGTATTGTATTTATGGAGAACTACTGTCCTCTACCACTCTAGTGCCAGAAGTGTTTAGGACTACAGAACTCCCTTTCTTTTCCCCATCTCCATAACATGGATGCATTTAACAGCTACATAGAGAGCAAAATATAATTCAGAAAGAAAAACAGTATTAAATAGCAGCATATGCTGATGGTCTATTATTTTTTCTTTCTAACCCAACAATGTATGTTCCAGTTTAATGGTTGAAATACATACTTATAGCTTTTTGGCCAATTTTAAAATTAATTTTCAAAAATAGGAGGCCTTCAGTATATTGATCTCTGAAACAGAGGTTGCCCTGATAAAAAAAAATTGCTTCACATTTAAATGGGCCCCCACTTGATGAAATATTTAGGTACATACTGTATATTTAAAGAGAGCTTACTAAAATATATACATTGAACTTCATCTAATGTATGTATAACTTCAACTTCATCAATGTTGTATTATGAGAGATTTAGAATGCTGGAATTTGGGTACATGTTCCTGGTTTGGAAGGGGAAGCATCGTTAAAAGGAAGATACAAATATTTTATCTGCTACAGGCATTTGTAATAACTATCCTACATGCTTTCTACCTACATATACACTCGCTCTTTTGTAAATTCATTTAGGTACATAAACGGGCCAAAATACGCCATACCATTGTTCGTCCTCCTAAAACAGTGGGGGGACTGGGATTCCCACATTTGGGGAATGTATAAATGTGACAAATTAATTCCCAGAATGCACTGTAAAAAAAAATAAATAAAACACCTCTATGTTCTTCAAAAGATCAGATGAAATTTGAAGACAACTTTCTTTCTCATCTTCTGTCTGTTACAATCTGCCACACTGTTTTCCTGTTCATTTTCAATTCTTCTGCCATCAATCTTCAATCTAAGCATACAAGGGTCTATACCCTGTTCACATTTGCAACTGTCCTTTGCCTTTTTGGCTGCATACTTCTAGTGTCATTGTAAACATTTTCCCACCCCTTCTTAAACTACCTTTGCCATTCAAAACTCTTGATTCTTTATGGAATGTTCCACATAAGTAACAGAGCTAGATTCACTTTTGACAATTTTCACTCATACAAACATTGATGTTTATCCACTGCTCCAGATTCTTGTCACTCATCTTCCTCCAACAGTGAAACACATACAAGTATTATTTCTTCTACTATTCTGTAAAGACTGAGTCAACTGGTCTGTGACCCAGGCGAGTGCAGGTTAGAACATGTCAGAATACGTTCAAGTTCAATGGCTGTGTGACTCACACCATAGTGCTATGCTGCTGGCATTCTAGGAATTAAATTGTCACACCTCGTACTACACAGCTAACCATTTGAGGAGAATAGTAGATTGGTGGAATGGGATGTAAAGTCCTTACAAGATGGTACAGAGTCCCTAGCATCCTGCATTCCTTCTCTCTATCCCAGGTGCAACCAGTATATCTGGTGAGATGTAATCCAGTGGGCTGGATTATCAGAACTTCCATTGCAGAGGATAGAGGCGGGTGGAGCCCTCTTCTCTCCCTCTTGACTGGCTTCACTGGTTTAGATTGTGGTTTGAACATGGTGACTAAACCATTTCTGGACAGACGGTGATGATCCAGAACAGGGCAATGATGGAGGAGATTGTCAGAGCTATGTGCTGTCACCTCTTTGGAGCCAGTGCTGTCACCTCTTTGATCCACACATGAACCCATAGACACCTCTTACATACTTCTCATCCTATGGGGACTAGCTATATCTTGTATATTCCTGGTGGAAGGGACTCAGGGAGTGCTATCGGTCCACAGGTTAGAGGGTATAATTCTTGCCTCTCCACAGGACACAGTTCTGATGCCACTGCTCCTTTTGCTGTCCATGTGTAGCTTATAATTGCACACGAGGAAGAATTGGTAATAGTGGGGATGATCCTAATTATGCTCATTTCTTGTAAATTTGTATAGAGACTGACTATTGGTGATGTACCTTATGTTAGGCTACGAAACTGATTGGTTAGACATGGTGTGAGGTTGTTTCATCCAAACTCTTCTAACTTCCACTTGGTAAACTGTGCATAGACCCTTCAACCAGACCATTCGGCATCTTTGCTCGGATTTTTCCTTGTTATCTCATTTCCTAGAAAGGATGTGGAGAGCTATAATAAACTGAGATGACTGAATCTATAAAAGCAGTTCTTTGAATCTATAAAAACACATAGATATCAGCCTGATAATAAACAACTTTACATTTTGAATGTAAACACTTTAAAAGTGCAGATTAAAAATAGTGCATGCATGCACACTTGGAAAACTATCTGTCTTGTGGTTTTCCATAAGTTCTTCCAGATGCTGAGCAGGCACAGTGCAGGACTTGGGATTCTCAATGACCGTTTGGCTTCATCTCTGCAGGCTGCTCAGACCAGAGGTCATAGTCTTTGCACATCTTTTTAATATGTCAATATGCTGCAACATTTGCAAAAGGAGCAGAGACCAATACTACACGAAACAGTGTGGCTCCTCCCTCTCCTGTTCTGTGTTCTCCATTCTCATTTTCAAATCAGGTAAAAAGCCACACCAGAGTGAGCCACTAGCATAAAAAGATCATATATAGTGAACAATTTGGGGATTTACAAACAGGTGTGACAATTTTATTCCCAGATTGTCTGCGGCATAGCATATCGCACTCCAGCGTGTCCTGATATGTTCTAACA